ATTATTACATCGGATGCTACTAATAAAAGGTAACCACCGAAAAGAAGATGTAATAAATACTCGTCAAATATTAATGAGAATTAACAATCCTTCCTCTAAGAAATTCGAAGATTATTACATCGGATGCTACTAATAAAAGGTAACCACCGAAAAGAAGATGTAATAAATACTCGTCAAATATTAATGAGAATTAACAATCCTTCCTCTAAGAAATTTGAAGATTATTACATCGGATGCTACTAATAAAAGGTAACCACCGAAAAGAAGATGTAATAAATACTCGTCAAATATTAATGAGAATTAACAATCCTTCCTCTAAGAAATTGAAGATTATTACATCGGATGCTACTAATAAAAGGTAACCACCGAAAAGAAGATGTAATAAATACTCGTCAAATATTAATGAGAATTAACAATCCTTCCTCTAAGAAATTCAAAGAAGATTATTACATCGGATGCTACTAATAAAAGGTAACCACCGAAAGAAGATGTAATAAATACTCGTCAAATATTAATGAAATTAACAATCCTTCCTCTAAGAAATTCGAAGATTATTACATCGGATGCTACTAATAAAAGGTAACCACCGAAAAGAAGATGTAATAAATACTCGTCAAATATTAATGAGAATTAACAATCCTTCCTCTCAGAAATTTGAAGATTATTACATCGGATGCTACTAATAAAAGGTAACCACCGAAAAGAAGATGTAATAAATACTCATCAAATATTAATGACAATTAACAATCCTTCCTCTCAGAAATTTGAAGATTATTACATCGGATGCTACTAATAAAAGGTAACCACCGAAAAAAGAAGATGTACTCATCAAAATACTAACAATCCTTCCTCTCAAATATTAATGAGAATTAACCACCGAAAAGAAGATGTAATAAATTTCAAATCTAAGAAATCCTTTTCTAAGAAAGATTTGAAGATATTACATCGGATGCTACTAATAAAAGGTAACCACCGAAAAGAAGATGTAATAAATACTCGTCAAATATTAATGAGAATTAACAATCCTTCCTCTAAGAAATTTGAAGATTATTACATCGGATGCTACTAATAAAAGGTAACCACCGAAAAGAAGATGTAATAAATACTCGTCAAATATTAATGAGAATTAACAATCCTTCCTAAGAAATTTGAAGATTATTACATCGGATGCTACTAATAAAAGGTAACCACCGAAAAGAAGATGTAATAAATACTCGTCAAATATTAATGAGAATTAACAATCCTTCCTCTAAGAAATTTGAAGATTATTACATCGGATGCTACTAATAAAAGACCGAAAAGAAGATGTAATAAATACTCGTCAAATATTAATGAGAATTAACAATCCTTCCTCTAAGAAAAGGTAATCGGATGCTACTAATAAAAGGTAACCACCGAAAAGAAGATGTAATAAATACTCGTCAAATATTAATGAGAATTAACAATCCTTTCTCTAAGAAATTGAAGAAGAATATTACATCGGATGCTACTAATAAAAGGTACAAACCACTAATAAAAAGTAACCAAGAAGATGTAATAAATACTCGTCAAATATTAATGAGAATTAACAATCCTTCCTCTCAGAAATTTGAAGATTATTACATCGGATGCTACTATTAAAAGGTAACCACCGAAAAGAAGATGTAATAAATACTCGTCAAATATTAATGAGAATTAACAATCCTTCCTCTCAGAAATTTGAAGATTATTACATCGGATGCTACTAATAAAAGGTAACCACCGAAAAGAAGATGTAATAAATACTCATCAAATATTAATGACAATTAACAATCCTTCCTCTCAGAAATTTGAAGATTATTACATCGGATGCTACTAATAAAAGGTAACCACCGAAAAGAAGATGTAATAAATACTCGTCAAATATTAATGAGAATTAACAACCTTTTCTAAGAAATTGAAGAATATTACATCGGATGCTACTAATAAAAGGTAACCACCGAAAAGAAGATGTAATAAATACTCGTCAAATATTAATGAGAATTAACAATCCTTTCTCTAAGAAATTCGAAGAATATTACATCGGATGCTACTAATAAAAGGTAACCACCGAAAAGAAGATGTAATAAATACTCGTCAAATATTAATGAGAATTAACAATCCTTCCTCTAAGAAATTCGAAGATTATTACATCGGATGCTACTAATAAAAGGTAACCACCGAAATGAAGATGTAATAAATACTCGTCAAATATTAATGAGAATTAACAATCCTTCCTCTAAGAAATTCGAAGATTATTAGAACTAATACAACTTGTGTAGTAGATTGAAATAGGACTCAAATGTACTTGTTAAATTCTAATAAATCAAAACAATCAGAATTTTCATAATGACGCATCTTAAAAAACAAAAAAAAAATTAATATTTATATTTCAATCAAGTTGAGAGTAGCAAGTACTGATCCGGGAAAAAAATGACAATTTCATTGATTTGATTACGATGAGAAAATCCTATTGCGTAGCATTGATTAGAGGTCGATTGTCCGACTCAGCAGATTAACAGTTCAATCAGAACTAATGACGTTAATTGAATATTCATCAAAGAGGGATAACGGAAACTGATCCTATCAGAACCAGTTTCCGCCATTTTATTCGTCGTTGTGCTTTTTATCATCTTTCTTTCAACGGGTAGACAGTCATAAATTAGCAGAACGTCCAATGCTATGCATGCAGATGACAGTTTAATCAGGGGAAGCGCGATCGATAATTTATGAAACAGAAATTATTTTATTCACTGTTAGCTGAATTGTTCCACGATTATGAAACGTATCCGACCGGAAAATTCTATTTGGATTTCTTTCAATAATAAGATCATACCATTCATGAGCCTCGTTTTCAAGCAATATGAACTATCAAAATTCATCTATCTTACATATCTATAAGTCTACTAATCGTCCATGCTTAGAATATTGCCTCTACATATGGCCCTATACTCCTGCTATTTACCTTGAGCTCGTTGATAAAATCCAATGAATAATCAGCAATATTATTGGTATTATCTGGCATCTCGGCTTCAGTTACCTTCCCTCCGCCGTAAGATTGCCTCTCTGTGCCTTTTCTATAAATACTGTCATGGTAAGTGTTCGGATGAGCTCTTCGCTATTCATTGGGGTTATATTTTTAAATTTGTTGTTTTATTCCCCCCAACTCACAGACAATGAATTGTAAATATGGAGACTAGTTAGTATTGTCATAGACACAAAGAGGTATTATGGTGGTTGTAGTAAGAAAGGTACGTATGAATGTATTGTTTTGGTGTAAGGAATATTGTTCGTATGATTGGGTCAGTGTTTGCGGCTAGCTAAGTTATAGTTAAGACAGAAGAAAACCGTCCTTTCCCCTATCTCTCCCTACGGCCTTGTGCCACATTTCTGTAGAAAACAGAATAAATATCGCTCTTCTCTATTCATTGGGGTTATATTTTTAAATTTGTTGTTCTATTCCCCCCACCCCACAGACAATTAATTGTACATATGGAGACTAGATAGGATTTTCATAGAGACATTGTGGTATTATGGTGAATGCAGTCAGAATGGTAAGTAAGAATGAGTTGTTGTTTTAATGTAAGGAATATTGTGGTATGTTTGGGTCAGTGTTTGTGGCTAGCTAAGTTTAACGTTAAGACAGAAGAAGACCGTCCTTTTTCCCCATTCCTCATTTTGGCCTTGTGCCACATTTCTGTACATAGCAGAATAAATATCGCTCTTCGCTATGGTACCTAAACTTTTTTTTAAAATTTGAGCGCAGTTCTAGACTGGCGTCGAAATCTCATCAATTTACAGTTGAGTTGGCTAGATGCAACCGTAAGTTCTACGCTAACAGTTTCTTTTCTCGCACTTCTCGATTGCGGAACTCTCTTCCGGCTCCATGCTTTCCAGCCAGCTTTAATCTACAAATATCTAAATGCAATGTCAATCGTTATCTGTTGTCTTCTTGATTACTCTTCTATTGTTCTCGCTCCTTAGTAATGTTTCTCTTTTTCTTATTCTTCCACACCCTGTAACCCCTTTGTGTCTTAGCGGCTTTACCGCCTTGTTTGGGGTGAACTCGATAAAAACAAAAGAAGCAATGTATTGTCAGAGGTCACCTTCTGTTGTCATATCATTTCTGTTCCGGGATTCTACAATGGAAATTACGTTGCTGAATTCAAAAATAACGAAGTATGTTAAAGAAAAGGCTTCATACGATACTTGATTTTGACTCTTTTTTATAGGTTTTATGAGATCACACACTCATAGTACTGTGCTATATATTTAGATATCCTTGATAAAATCCCAAAGAAGAATCAGCAATATTATTGGTCCTAACCTGTCGACTCAGCTTCAGTCAATTTCCCACTGACGTAAAGTTGCCTTTCTGTATCTTTTCTCTGAATATTTTCATGGTAATTGTTCGGATGAGCTCTTCGCAATGCTGCCTAGACTCTATGAATTTAAGTGCATCACTAGACTGGCGACGAAGTCTCAACAATTTACAGTTGAGCTGGCTAGATGCAACCGTAAGTTCTACGCTAACGGTTTCTTTTCTCGCACTTCTCGATTGTGGAACTCTCTTCCGGCTCCATGCTTTCCAGCCAGCTTTAATCCGCAAATATTTAATCTACTGTCCCCCGACTATTTTTTTTCTGCTTCTCGCTACCTATCAATGTTTCTGTTCGTAATTCTTCCACACCCAGTAACTCCTTGTGTATTAGTGGCATTAGTGCCTTGCATGGGGTAGTACTGATTAAAAGAAAACTATGAACCTCATTATCAAGCAATATGAATTATGGGCCTCACTTTTAAGGAATATTAATTCTAAACCTCACTTTCAAGCAATATTAATTCTGACCCCAGTTTCAAGGAATACGAATTATAAGTCTCACTCTCAAGAAGTATTGATGACGAGCCTCGTTTTCAAACAATATTATAGCATCACTTTCGAGCAAAATTAATTTTGAGCCTCACCTTAAAGAAATATGAATTACGAGCATCACTTTCAAATAATGTGTTATGAGCCTGACTTTCAAAAAATAAAATTATTAGCTGCACTTTCAAGCAGCAGGAACTACGAGCCTCACTTTCAAAAGGTTTTAATTTTTAGCCTCCCTTTCAAATAATATAAATTATAAAGCTCACTTTCATACAGTATAACATGAGTTCTTCTTTACAACAATATGAATTATGATCCTGAAGTTTAATATGTAACAGGCAAAGTTTAATATATAACATAAAATATATTTCTTAAATCCCCTGAAAAGTACAACCTATTTAACATCTCATAAACACCTAACTTTAACACGAGTATTTATAAGGATAGGTCAATCAAGTAACTTCGTTTCTGAAACCAGATACTTGCATAAGCAAAACAAACGATCAGTGACCTTGTACCAAAGTGATGGACAATCCTACAAGCACTCATCGACTACTTATCAACCTCAATATAGAATCAAGAAAAAAGGGCTGTGGGGTTAGTACTCGCTACCCTTTTGCCAGAAAGCAGGAAAAGCTGATCCACACCGAGACAGGCTGATCCACTCCGCTAAGCACCAAAGAAGAATTCAGGACGACTGCCTGCTATAAAGAAAGAGGAGTATCTCTCTCTCTCGCTCTCTCTCTCTCTCTCTCTCTCCCTCTCTCTCTCTCTCTCTCTCTCTCTCTCTCTCAGCCTGTTCAGTATCTATCTATCTAGCTAGCTAGCTAGGTAGCTAGCTAGCTAGCTATCTATCTCAATATATTCCTACCTATCTATCTATCTATCTATCTATCTCAATATGTTCCTATCTATCTCAATATGTTTCTATCTATCTATCTATCTATCTATCTCAATATGTTCCTATCTATCTATCTATCTATCTATCTCAGCCTGTTCAGTATCTATCTATCTATCTATCTATCTATCTATCTCAATATATTCCTATCTATCTATCTATCTATCTATCTATCTATCTATCTATCTATCTTGTTCTTATCTCTGTCTCTCTATCCTTTTCTTATCTCACTCTCTCTCTCTATCTTTTTCTTTTATATCTATCTATCCTGCTCTTATCTCTCTCTCTCTCTCTCTCTCTATCTATCTATCTATCTATCTACCCTGTTCTTATCTCTTTCACTCACTCTATCTGTCTATGTATTTATCTATCTATCTATCCTGTTTTTATGTCACTCTATCTATCTATCTATCTATCTATCTATCTATCTATATATCTATCTATCTCCTTGTTTCTATATCTCTGTTTATCTCTCTCCTCTTTTTATCTCTCTCTTCCTCCTGTATCTATCACTATGTTTCTCTCTCTCTCTCTCTCTCTCTCTCTCTCTCTCTCTCATTCTCTCTCTCCTATTTCTATTTCTCTTTTTCTCTCTTACACCGGTTTCCATCTCTGTCTCTCTTCCTCTCTCTTGTCTATCTCTCTCTCTCTCTCTCTCGCTCTCTCCTATTTCTATCACTCTATTTTCTTTCTTCTCTCTCTCTCTGATTCTCTCTCTCCTGTTTCTATCCCCATGTGTCTCTTTCTCTCTCTGTTTCTATCACTCTGTTTTTTTATCTCCTGTTTCTATCTCACTGCTGCTTCTCTATGAATATTGCTGCCACATTAGGTCTAATATTCCTACTATATATATATATATATATATATATATATATATATATATATATATCGTTATTCTTGACAAAATCAAATGAAGAAGGGGTGGTAGCACCTGTTAGGCTCCCAGCTATGAGAAAATAGTGAACTCCAAAACTGGGGTCAAAGCACAATGCAAGTTTAAAAATAAATTTAATAGTAAAAAAATTAAAATTAGATGTTAATAGTTAAAAAAAAAAAACAGCAGATTTTAAAACTAAAAAAAAAATCCAGCAATTGTACAAATTGTACATTAATTGTACAAAAACTATAGCGATAGATTTTAATAGTAAAAGAAACAAAAATTCTAGCAACAGATTTTAATACAAAAAAGAAATTCCTGCAATAGATTTTAAAAGTAAAAAAAGAAAATTGCCAAAACTTCTAAGAAAATTAAATTTCAGCGTTAAATTACCCATAAGAAGTTGATATGTCGTTAAACAAACCAAACCAAACCAAAGAAGCATCTGCAATGTTATCGGCCCTGTCCTGGCATCTCGACTTCTGTCACTCTCCCACTATCGTAACATGGCTTATCCAGTCTTTTCTATAAATATTTTCATAGTAATTTTTCTAATGAGCTTTCCTCGTTGGTGCCTCGATTATATGAATTTAAGTTTGCTACTAGATTGGCAATTAGGTCTCATCGTTTTACTGTTGAAATAGCTAGATGGAACCGTAAGTTCTATTCTAATAGTCATTTTTCTCGTACTTCTCATATGTGGAACTCTTTTTCAGTTTTTGTTGTAACCTAGGGAAGGTTACTGAATAGAATAATCAAACAAAGGTTGAACGATAATACTTAGGAGAAGAACAACACATATAAGATTCGCCAGTGGCGCGTAGAAGCAGTAATCAACTGATAGAAGTAAATCAAGTGAATTCCACAATGAATCTCCAAATCTAGGATATCTACCAACCGCCCGACGCAGTCAGATGTGGCACAAGGCGGAATTTAATGTGGGGTATCCGAGCCTATAGGCTCGGCCAAAAATTCCCCGTATACCCCGTATCAAACGGAGTCGGGTAGCTGTTTCCCGAGACGAGATTCTGTCATTCGACATAGCTTCGTCTGGGGCTCCTCTTTGCCCGGAGGCAGAGTGTTTAACCAGCAAAACAGGAGACGAATTTCCAACTGCAGGATATCTACCAACCGCCCCATGCGGTCAGATGTGGCACAAGAACGAATTTAATGTGGGGTATCCGAGCCCGTAGGCTCGGCCAAAAATTCCCCGTATACCCCGTATAAAACGGAGTCGGGTAACTGTTTCCCGAGATGAGACTATGTCCTTCGACATAGCCTCGTCTGGGGATCCTCTCTGCCCAGAGGCAGAGAGTTTTACCAGCACAGCTGGAGACGAATCTCCAACTGCAGGATATCTACCAACCGTAACACACGGTCAGATGTGGCACAAGGCCGAATTTAATGTGGGGTATCCGAGCCGGAGACGAATCTCCAACTCTAGACCACGTGCAGTATTCACCACTGTATTTATGGGAATGGCGGCATACCCATTATCGTCCGTAGGTATGCTACAACAGTTTTCTCGTTTTCCCACCACCTACGATTATCAAAACTTCGCAGCATCAAACGCCATATCCAGTCTTACTGAATTCTGTTGTTTTATTGGCCTTTTTCTTCACTAGCGTCATTTCATTTTCTTTCACACTCAGTCACTCCTTGTGTCTTAGTGACATTATCGCCTTTATTGGGATGAAATGATTAAAATAATATTAAGCAAATGAATGAAAGTCGATAAATTCTATGTAATGCGTTTCATCCTCAAGAACAGTGGTTTCCAAACGGTATGGTGCGTCCCATAGATACAGCGGAAGAGGATATCAGGTGAGGCGGAAGTGGATAGCAGGTGAGGCGGAAGAGGATAGCAGGTGAGGCGGTATGATTGGAAGACAATCAGAGATTTAGAAACAGTTTCAAAATTTCATATGCCAAAAATAAATATGATTTCAAAATTTAAAATACTATTATGGATTACTTTTAATTGCAAGCATGAGTCCCAGTATAAATAGTTATAAATAATTATTAACCGATTTTCTCATTGTGAGATTTTCACATTATATCAAGTATTAAGAATATAGTAACTAGGGTCTGCAAATTGGAGGAGAGAGTTATTGATAATGTTCTGACTTCAAATCTGCAATTATCTCCCTTTAATCCTATCTGTTTTTTTTGCTTTTTTTTGTTTTGTTTTTTAAATGTACTTTTTTCGCATAAAATTTGGTGAGGCACGAAAAAATTTTCATTCTGAAAATGTGGCCAAGAGAAAAAAGGTTGGGAACCACTTCTCGAGAAGGACTTAATCGGAATAAAATAATGTTTTTGTTGATGAAATTCTATGTAGGGGGAAAGGGATATAAAAACGCGAGAGTCGGTTACAATTATGTACCGAGAGAAAACGCTAAAGATCTTGGAATGCTGAAATTTAAAAAAAAAATTATCCTGCACATATATAATTTCATCAACAATATATATATTCTGTTTACACTGTTATTATTTTTATGGATGGGCTTATTTGAGTAAATGCTATGTTCTTTAATTTAACAGTATTAATTACATTTTTTAGCCTGAATGTTCGTAGAAAATATGCGTTTTCCGACAGGAATCGAACCTGTATCCTATACACAACCGTCATTAAGCCTGACGTGCTATGACCGTTCAGTCAAAGAGAACTTCCGGTTAAGTAAAGCTCGAATTACTGCTTTTAAACACATACCTTTGCCGATCCTTTTCGGTCTATCATATTTGCTCTGACTTCTTTACCTTAACGTAAACAATGCATCATATCATAGGATTAAATGGATTAAATCCGACAAAATATTTAATATTTTTATGTATCCATTAAAAATAACGCATGAACAGTATATATATATATATATATATATATATATATATATATATAGACACACACACAAATTAAAGAAAGAACAGATGGAGTAGAAAGTAGTTTTTTATAAACGTGCTCAATACAATGTAGAGTAAATATTATTATAATACTTTTATTATAAGAGATTATAATAAAAAAAACATTTTACATCGCTACATAAAAAATTCATGTTTCAATACGATGATTGTACTTCCTCAGGCGATGGTAGATAACTTGTGATAAAAATGATTTTTTAGGGAAATTTAAAAAAAAAACGTTACTTCTTTTCGGAATTAAAGGTGGGGTCAACAAAAAGGAGTAACGTTTTCTTTTTAAATCATTTTTATCCCAAGTTATCTACCATCGCCTGAGGAAGTACAATCATAGTATTGAAACATGAAAGCTTTAATGTAAACGATGTAAGATGTAAAAAATTTTTATTATAATCTATTATAATAAAAAATATATATATATATATTAAATAATATATACATA